GACATTTTCCTATGAAAATAGCAAAATATGAATCATTCTAACAATACGTTCTGAGTAGTATGCAATTATAAAGACTTCCCAAATATGTAAAACAAGCACTATAAAAATTGGATTTTTATAAAGCATCAACCTTGTTCGGTGGACATATTACAATATGCATATATTTAAATGTTATAGAAATAATATATTATTACATAAATAGCCTAGCCTTATTCATCACCATTAATGCCTTATGTTGTAGAACATTGAAGATTCTTCTCTAGAATATGCAGTGCAGGTGAGCTAAGGAGCTAATGAACGTGATAATAAATACAAATAACTATAAAGAGATATTAGCCTGCGATATGGAATCGACCCAATCGTTTCCTAGCTTTTCTGAAAGAGACATGTTTCAGATTGATTTATTGATTATTTCGTGTTTCCAGGCCCGACAACCAGTATTTTCATTAGTTCCGTATTGACCATGTTTTATCTCGAGTGGTGTTCTTCCTCAGGTGGATAGTGAGATTCGGCGCCTATCTACTCGTCGATGGTGGCGTTTCCGAACCAGGTGTCTCCCACAAGCGGGACACTACCCCAGCCGGAACATGCTGGTCTCCCGACATACATGGTAGAGCAGTGCATAAAAGTGTGTCCGTGTGTGTGTGTGAGAGAGAGAGAAAGAGTGTGTATACGACTAGGAAGGTGAAGGATAAGTCGCGAGAGGTCTGTGGCACGTTTGTTTTAAGTACTGCTCCGACATTTGCTTGGTTTTGACCGGAGAAAGCACGGAAAACTACTTTTTAGAGCAGATAGCAGCTAGAATTATCTTTCTGATAGTGGCTGAATTTGAGCTAGCTGTCTAGGAAGGTTTGAAAATCCTGCCACCAAGGCAAATACTCGAACCTTAAGACCTCCCAGTCAGACATCAGCTGTCCTGAGTCTGACATTCCAGCAGTGACATCAGCTATCCTGAACTACCTCAACCTTTACGTACTCCTGATGAACCTTTCTTAGTTTAGTGCCACAGATGTTGTCTCGGTAAACTCGTTTGAGTCTTTTCAGTTCCCTACGTGCTTCATATTTGGGGATCTACATTTGAAGGCATATTCACTGTCTTTTGACACGGAAATATACAGAAAAGTTTGCTTTGGATTAGCTTACTGACTGGAAATACACTCTTTTAATTTTATAACTTTTGAAGTTTGTGTGCAGTTACGTTGGTAAAGAAACAATTATTTACGTTGAAGTTGAGAGTGAAAAAAGGATCAAGTATTCCTCAGAAACACTACGCGATCTGAGTCTGTTTTTTAATTATACAAATTGAATAATAAATTACGCAAAAGATCTGATTAAAATAAGACTAGTGGTGTTAATAGCACGTACTTTATCGCCTTTAGTAATAGTTATGTAGTTCTACTTATACAACAATGTTTCTCCGAATTAATATATCTCAGTCATCATTTTTTGTAAAACTCATTTAAAATCGTAAAACATTTGGTGCGATATTGATTTCAAGCAATATATTTTTAATTCAAAAGTTTAAATGAAAATATATCGGTGGCATTAAATTCATTGTATGAGGTATGAAGTGTATTCACAAACATATCGGATGAGTATTTTAACTTTACAATATTCTTCGTAAGGAGTATGCAACAAAGTAAAATAATTAAATGTTAATAAATAATACGACGCTGTCAAACAAATAGAAATAGATCGAAAAATATATAATAGTAGTTATTAGACATTATGGTATTGTAATATTCTACAAATAATAAAAGTATTAGTTTAAATTATCGCGAACGAAAGGCAGCCGTCATTATTGTCTTGTGTCATTATTGTCTTGTGTTATTAGTGCCTCGTTACAAAAATGGGATACAAGCAACAATGACCGCTAATTCGTATGGGATACACATTTTTCATATAGGATACACATACACATTGTTGATACCGCTAGCAAGAAAATGAAAATAGATAAAGTATAATTATTAAATTTTATATTTTTATATTTATCACAGTTATTTGTTTTTTACATGCATTACTCTTGATACTTTTATCTAATTAAGCAAAGCGAAATCATCAATTAGTTTTCACATTTAACACAATACAAAGACGCAATTTAAAATGAAATAAATGTAATATAAACATAATAAAAATAATAATAAAATGAAATATGAAATACTATACAAATAACTTACGTAGCATTCAACTCCGCATCATCACCATTATTTTACGTTCAGGAAGCGCACTATAAATAGCGCGATTATATTATAGCTATATTTTATTATAAATATGTTTTAATTCCACACAAATGTATTAGTTTAATAGCATAATATCTATTCTTTTAGTAGTGTAATGCTGACTGCGGTCTACTTATAAGCAACTGCAAAATAACGAAATCAATCGAATATTATTGTTAATGAAAGGAAAGTAATCGCCCCGCCAGCCCCTCTCAATCACTCCAACGGTTGCAGCTTTTTGCGGCGTGGGAAGCTGCTTCTCCCGATCGGTCGATTGTTTCGAACCCTCCCGAGGCTGCGAGAGATCCCCGCCCCAAATAAGCGGTCGGGCGCTGGAACAATTCCGGCTTCCCTCCAAGGAGATCCCCTTTCACCTAAAAAGCGACGCCTAGTCCGAGGGCCGGTAATGGACGAGGGGCATAACAATACGTCATCAGCGCCCCCGCCGGCCGACCGCCCAACCGCCCCAACACCCTTTGATTCATAACGATCACTGAAAGCACTTGTGCTTATGGCCGTTATTTATTTGTGGCTATGTGCCATCGGAGAAGAATTGTTATTGCGCATGTAAAATAGGCTATAGTGTTATTTTACGAAGTAATGGAATAATCCTGCAATATGTTCTTGCATTTTACGTTGGTTTCGTGTTAAATGTAACTCACCTGTCCATGTCCGGAAAAGAGATTAAGTGGTATTTTTGTCTTTTGACTGAACAAGTGAGTGCCTTTTTTGGTGTCTGAGAGAAACATTGTAATTATTTTGCTAATAGAAATAAAATATTCTCTAATTCAATTATCTGTCACTGCATATTTTATAAGGCATTCAAAAACTCGCAATGTCTCCCCAGAAGTAAAACAAAATTATTTCTCAAGGAAGTCCTGTAATCTCTACGAACATTATATTGGGGCATAGGAATATCATTCAAAATTAAGTTTTTTATTTGCTGGAAAATTTGAAATCGAATATGATTAAGCGTAAGTATTGCAATAGAGGAATAAAACTTGGAATGTGCATGTGTTTGATTCGTGTAGTATTAAATGCGTTTAGGTCTTATTCTAACCAACATGTACCATATTACCTCTCCTAGAATATCAGTGTATTTAAAATATAGAAACTAACGTATCTGCGTGTAATATTTGCTGCGTGAAACATCATTGCCGTGACAAAGCCAAGCGGCGCTGCGCGTCATGCACTCTTTTATACGTTTTGTTATGAAAGAAAACTGGATATGCAATATTCACGTTCTACATTTACGATTTTAGAACGTCAAAAATACCTTTTCGGCTGAATTCATATTTTCAGAAAACTCATTAGCGCGTCTCTAGTTCCTAACTTTCAACACAATCCTCTGGATCGTGTTCGCATATCTTTCGGCGCTATTCATCGGAATTGCCAATAGGTATCGAAGAGAACGAGGCCACGCGGACCTCAGTCTGCGACTATATATAGACGCCGCACCGCACCGCACCGCACCGGCCCCTCCTCCAACCCTGACTTACAGGACACTCACGATTGATCCCCGTCGCAACTCAATATTCGGGCGCAGAATCCCGTTAAGAATGCGTCAGCCCCCGAATAATCGCATCAGCGGGGTGAGTACCTTGTTATATGCAGATCCAATCCTTCCCTAATCTTCCCATCATTAATTCATCATCGGATAAAAGGAGCAGGAGAAAAAAAAAAATCTGCGCGGAGGTCTGCGAAGTTGCGACGGCGGCGGTGGAGCGGAGGGCGGGGTGGCGGGGTGGGTCGCCGCCGAAGGGAAGAAGCTTCGAGAACGCCGGTGGCGAACGCAGCGGGGGGCTTAGAAGGCTTTCTTCTTGTGGTGGGTGGCCGCGCAGTTCAAGTGCAGACGATAGCCATCACGTCGGCGATGATTGTTGAGCATGGCGTGGTGATGGACGTTCTGAGCAAGTTTACCATAGTTACCGAGTATATGATTGTTTGTGTGCCTAAAGCAGATGATTTAGTGAAATGTAATTTTAAAATTCATCAACTGTTTTAACAAGTTAAAAATTTGGCCATGAAAAGTCATGATGGTTGTATCTGATCAAAGTATGACGGTTGCTGGTGCGAAAACAGATAATGTATTAAAATATATTTACAATTCATTAATACTTTTAGAAGTTAAAAATGTGATCATGAAAACTCATTTTAATTATGATGTATGAAACAAAAGAGATTAAAAGTAAAGTTTTTGACTCTACAATAGATGAGGTGATGGTAAATGTTACGAATGTTTTGATGATTTTCACAACAAAGAATGTTATAACAACAAAATGAGTAATTTTGATAGTGAAGGAGAAATTATATGAATTGTGACAGTGACGATGTTGGGCGGATGGCGGAGTAAAACGGGTGCTTTCGTAATAGCGATAGTTGAGGTGGTTTAGAAAAGTTTTAGAAGAGCGATGACGTTGGTCGAGTGACGCCGGGTGCATCGGTGCCGCCGAGCGCAAGAGAGAAGCGGCCGCTCGGCGGAGGCGGCGGGCGCAGGCTGGAGTGCGGGAGTGCGGGGAGAGCGGCGCCGCGAACTTCGCAGTCGAGGAGGACGCACTTTCCGATGAAGCAGATTTCCTCAGGATCGGATTATCTGAAACTGATTCTTCCCGGTCCCCAGCCGCCCCTCGCAGTCAGTCCCGGCCGTCGTTCCACACGCAGCTGCCTTTTCCCGCTGCCGATATCCGTTTTTTTCACCCTCGCTCTCTGGGGCGCCAACTTCTTCGCGGCGCTCGCTGGTGGCTGCGGGGTAGCAACAGGGGCGCGGGCGGGTCGGAGGAAATGGACTCGAATGGAGATGGGGAAGAAGAGGAGCCAGGCGGTCTCTTAAACTAAAAGTATTATTTGTAGGAAATATTGTATTTTCAGTGATCATTTCATAACTTCTCGCAATGTTGATTTTAACTCTCGCTTCATTATTTTACGGAGAAGAGTGAAAGTGAATTCAAAAATATAAACGATTTAAGGTTTCATTGGCCAAGTAAGTAACAGAATACTTTAAGTGCGTTCCTCGACGAATTATGATGTACTTTGAATCAGTGTGTGGACTACAAAAGTGCACAATTTGCAAAACAAATTAAAATTTGCCACATGTGGAAGACACTATTCTGAAAGACTTCTAAGAGAAATGATTTCATGCAACCAGAAAATTGGTATCAGAAATGTGAGTGAAGCTGAATCTATAAGCAATATAACTAACCACCAACTTGCTGGAGGCGGTATCCATAAAACTATTTTCAAACAAGCAGGAATACAACTTTTTAAAAGTAAAAAAATCTACAAATGAAAACATGAACGTCTTCCTATTTTCTTAATTCCTCTAAAATTATTGCTACTTGGATTTTACGATTGAATTCAATTCCAGAGAAACCTCGCCGGAAATTAGAGTGTTCCTTTTTACTTTCACGCTACGGAGTGGAGAGAAAGTTATGTAATGCTGCACGAAAAACGGAGAGTTTTCGACAGAAAAACTGTTATTACAGGGTCCTAGGAAAGAAAAAGTGGATAAATCCACCCATCCGTCCGTCTGTCTGTGTCAGTCTGTGAGCAACACTAGGGGCTACACCGTTCAGCCGATTTTCTCCAAAATTGATATTCTTCCTATCGATCTTGCTGATGTCACGGCTTCTTTGATTTGAAATCTATATTTTAATTTTAGGGGGAACTTTACATGAAGTACCCGGGACATCTTTTTTGGCTCCTTTGGCTTTTTTCAAATGGCTCCATCATTTTTAATTCAAATTAGTAGTTGAGTAGTGTGGCGGACGTTTAAGAGAATGGTGCAGGTATCATGATCGTAAAAAACCCTCTGAAGTTTCTGCCTGAGATTTCAAAATAACTACTTTCTATTTCATTGTAAATGGTAAATCACCGTCATATGAAATACAGTATATTGTTTTTACAATTTTTTGTCACTCCGTCTTATCTGTTTCTCCCCAATAACCAAGGGAATGTCGTAACTGATTTCTTTGGTTATCACTGAAAGATAGGGTATTTTGCCAGTTATAATTTCTTCTTCTTTCTAGAGCTTTTATATAGCCGGCAGCCGGTTACCCCCTTACGTCCCAATGAGACGCATATTCGACCACACACTAAGCATTAACACACTTGCGGGCTTCTTTTATCTGGGGTCAGCAGAATTCGAGGTCCTCCGCGACAACACATACATTAGAGACAAGGTACAAACAACCATGCCCAAGGCAGAACTCGAACCCGCAACTCTTGGGATTGAAGCGCTAAATCGGTACATGCTCTTAGCAATCTCGGTTTTTTCCAGGTCAGCTGGGTATAATTTAAGCTACGTATTAACAGAAAATTACTTTATATTATATAAATAACTACCCTTTTTTTGTTTTTGGGTGGAAATCTAGTTTTATTCTAATCGCAATTAAATTTTGTAGACAGGATCTACAAAACAAAAGAGAAATTGTTATCGCCATGAGGTTTCGCAAAACTACCCATCTTCCTTTTGCACCCCTTAACGAACAATGTAAGTGAGCACTCTATGAGTGTTTCGCAATTATCTCGAAAACAACGAACAAATCTGCCGGCCTGAATAGTCGAAGTAGTTATAACAAAGCGCCGTTGCTTTCTCGTACCTTAAGGATCGCAGATTCGAATTCCGCCATGGATGTGATGGTGGCTGTGTGACCGTAATGGTTGAAATCCTGCCATGGATGAGTGGTGGATGTGTGACCGTAATGATTGAAAAGCGACCTTAAATAAACGAAAAAAACATTTATGAAAGCTCATAAAACTTCCTATTTAAACCAGTTCAATTCATCGCCAAAGTTAATTAGGCTTTGAATAGTTAGGAATTGAAGGTCAAAACTGTTATCGGATGTTTGCCACGAATATGCATCAGTGCATGTTTGCAGCTGCCCTTAACATCCAACGAGGGTGGTGCAAGCGTGGCCCATATCACAAGAATCGTGCTTGTGGCAATCTTGGCGGAGCGGGGCTGATCAGGGAGCGTGACGCAGAGAGACAGGGAGGGCAGTCCGAGAAAGGGAAAGGCTGCCCGGGCTGTTGGAATGGTAATCCAAGGATACGTCGTGCATAGAGTTCGTTCCTTTTCCTGCAACATGATTGTCATTAATAACATCCGGACAACGCATGGTTATTCAAGGTGTGTTTGAGTATAAACGAAGACACTTTTGTTGTATAAAATAAAATGCTGTAAATTGGCGGGTCGTTCCACAAATGTTTACTGTTATGTAAACTATGACTATTTAAGTCTCCAGATAATTAGTTTACAACTAAACTAAATATGCAAAATGGCCACTAGAAAGAAATAACCTTAGCAAAAAATATTAAGTGTTCCGGGTGCCTTGAAATAATTGTATGAGTTTAATCATTGGGCATGATATATTTAAATCGAACCCCCGATATACTTATGCTTTAATTGTTATGTTATAACTAGGGGCTTAAAATATCCCCAAAATATCCCAAAATTTTGACAGCTTAAAATATCCCCAAAAACGGGCATTAAAATTAAGACATTTTTGAAATGGTTTAAAATGCTCTTAAAGTAAAGAAAAATTAGATTAAAAATTTGATCAAAATAATTTCAGATGAACAACTCACGCAGTTGGATATGTTAATGATGCAATAGTGGCTACTTCCTTTTCTTCAAATGAATTGAACTGGCAAGTTTTTGGTTTATACTATTCTTTACCAGGAAATCTGTCTTTAATAATCGCGAAATCGGTCGACTCGAAAATAGTGCTGATAGGCGTCTCAAGAAGTTCATATACTCAATGACTGACATCACAATTTCAGAGGGAAGAAATCGAGAAGTCTACATAGCATTTTAGTGGAAACATTTGTTGCGTCTCGTAAATATTATTTGAAGCAAGTATTATTGAAATGGTATTAAAATCGATGAAAGCAGCAAAAAATGCTTTAAAAATGACGGGAAAGGTACAAAATGTCTTATTAGTCGCAATAGACGCAAACTAATAACAGAAATTTGAAGCCTATCACATAAGTTTTTGACATTTTATCAATAAATGTATCTTTCCATGTTTATTGAAGTTGATTAGCTCAGTATCTACTGTATATGAGTTGGGATACGCCAATTTTCCTAAATTAGTTTTCGAACACTGAAATCTGACGAGATATTGGACTTCCGTGTGCAAAGCCATTAACATCAAAACAACGGCACGTAATCAGCCGCGTAGGCGGCCGTCGACGGCGCCACTGGTATTGGGAAGTTCGGCAGCCACGGCGCCCCTAAGCAGAAGGAAACTCCTCAGAGCTGCTGGTGCTCTCAAACCCGCCCAGACTCTTGGCCACCCAACTCCCCTCACGCCCATCCCCTCCACCAACCAACCATCAACTAATCCATCCAGTCAGACGCCCGCTCTCCCACTTACCGAAAAACCCGCTCATTCCTTCCCCCACACAAGGCATTCAGTCTGCCCACCCTCCCGTCCTCCATCCCGTCCTCTCTCCCGTCCTCTCTCCCGTCCACCCTCCCATCCCCCCTTCCCGTCCACCCTCCCGTCCACCCTCCCGTATTCCCTCCCGTCCACCCTCCCGTTCCACCCTCCCGTCCACCCTCCCGTCCACCCTCCCGTCCACCCTCCCGTCCACCCTCCCGTCCACCCCTCCCGTCCACCCTCCCGTCCACCCTCCCGTCCACCCTCCCCGTTCCACGCCTCCCGTCCACCCTCCCGTCCACCCTCCCGTCCAACCCTCCCGTCCACCCTCCGTCCACCCTCCCGTCCTCCCTCCCGTCACCCTCCGTCCACCCTCCCGTCCACCTCCCGTCCACCTCCCGTCCACCCCTCCCGTCCACCCTCCCCGTCCCCTCCCGTCCACCCTCCCGTCCACCCTTCGTCCCCCCTCCTCGTTCCACCCCTCCGTCCCCCTCCGCCCCCTCCCGTCCATCCCCTCCGTCCACCTCCGTCCCCCTCCCGCTCACCTCCCGTCCAACCCTCGCGCCCCTCCCTCACCCGTCCACCCTCCGTTCACCCTCCCGTCCACCCTCCGTCCATCCTCCCGTCCACCTCCCATCCACCCTTCCCGCCCACTCTTCCGCCTGGCCACCAGCTGGTGTGAGCATCTGAGTGGGTGCTTACTCCTCCTATCTATCCCCTACCTACCCCACCCGCCCTCTGCGCACCCTCCGACTGCACCGTGCGGACTCCACCGCGGGATTAAGCGTTGCGACCGGGCGATACGCGCGCGATTCTGAGAAACACTCGCGCCGCGAGGGGGGGGGAACGGCCCTTCCCGAGGGGTATTAAAGCCATTCACGGACGCGACTGACGTGTCGTGAAAAGGGTCCTCTCTCTTCTCCTCATATCAGGAGTTTTTTTTTTCTGCGACGGTTCCGTTTTCAGGGATTTTGTGCATGCCGGTTGTTAGTGATTTTCAAAAGACCCCGCCCTTGCAACGGTGATAGACTGCCTCGTGCGCACTGTTTTGAAAATGGAGCGATGCCATCTGCGTGTTTCCTTTCTTTTTTTGTGGAAGGTTGCAGTCAAAGGATATGCCGAAAGAGTTTTTCCATCGTGCAATTCGTAGTTAACATGTATTCTAGCGGAATTAATTATGTACAACCGTACTCATGGGTGCCCAAGCCAAAACTGAAATGTAGTCGATAATGACGTATTTATTGATTTTTCTAAACCTGAGCAAATATCAGATCAAGCAGTTTCAAATATTGAGATTACTGTAGTACGTTGAGCAGTATGCTCACCAATTACCATAAGCAAAAATAGCACGCTATGAGAGTCATTCTTCACACCTCTCCCTCTTTCAATAAAAATTATACTAGCCACACTCTACTCGGCCTGATATTATAACGGTATT